TTTTTTTTGTTTTTCTTGATTTTTTTGAAAACTGTTGGAACATTTTTACTTTTGACCTCTATAACGCACTAAGGATATTCACTTTTTCATCGGAAACTACCTCAAAAGTTTGAAATTGAAGCACTATTTCGACTAGTTATGCTGTGAACAAATACAAAAAACACACGTCATTGTAAAATCAATACATTCATCACTCAGTTCAGAATCTAATATTACAATAGTAGGTACATGTAAGTGTTATTTATTTATTTATTTTTTGAAATACCTATTATTTATTTCCATAATTTAACTACTTATTCATAATTTATGGGTTGACCTAATGCATTTTTGCATATTAGTACAATAACGTAGGTATCATACTAGTAAGACATATTGAACAATTTTTCACTATTTAGAGCTATTCATAATATTTTATCAAATAAAATATGAAAAAGGTAGTAAAATTGAATATAATGATACTTTTTTAGAATTTTATATTTGGTCACCATAAGCGTTTATAATGTATATAGTAGGTAATATTACTTCATAAAACGGATTATAATAGTATATTGTATATTATATAATATCACACAGAGTGAACCTGTAAATATATAATCACCGTTTSATTATAACCGGTAGATGAACTTTTATTATATTATAAATTGTATAATACGGAGCGTCTATTGTATCGTCATGTCTGATGGCACACCCAGACCGCGACATGGTAGCGTAAAAAATCAATTTCGAGCTCACCTACATGTACGAACAATACTTTATAGTTTATAGTATCATATTAATTATTATTATTATTATTATTATTATTATGCGTTTCTGCCAGAATCAGCAGACCATGGGACGAATAAAAGACGAAACCTCGTCGTGTTATGTTATATTATTATGTTCTCCTCTGATCCTACCACGGCGAATAGCGCCTGGCAGCGCCACATGTTTGTTGGCAGAACTGTCAACATGAAAGCGAAACATTATAAATCCATATGAAGCCGGCGTAAAAAAAGACCACAACATGTATGGTGGTTGGGCGTTTCAGTTAGACGAAGGCCGACAAATAGTCAGCACGCGATCGCAACGACCAGACGTGCCGGCTAGCTGTACCGCGCCCGCTGCAGCAGTATACCGCTGGACGATTCCACACGACAATCGTGTTCATGTGCACGAGGGGGAGGGTCACGCAGAAGGACAAATATAATTAAACAACCAAAATGAGTAAGTGCATTGTGTATACTATATTCATCGTATAAAATACAATAAAAATACCGCTAATAAAAACCAAATATAGGTAGGTATATTATTATAAAATTCAACAAGTKTTCGGGTTTTGAAACCAAATTATGTTCAACGATACCGCTATTTGTACACTGCAGTATACGCTTTGGACAACTCTGTGTACGGTAGTGACTTGAATGGGCTGAAATCATTTTATTTTTTTAAAACATATATAGTTTATTCGTAATGTTATTAACAAAATAAAAAATTCAACGCACTGTAGTTACTTTAACTAGAAATTAGGTAAGTCTTTTTTTTAAATTAAATAATATCCTACGTCGTATAACAGATTTACAATTTACAAATAGTTAAAAAAAACCCAGAAAAGTAAAATAGCAGTAGATATAGGTAATACGAAGAAATAGTAAATAGTTGTTTTGCCAGCAAAAAAATAAAGAATAATAATTGATTACATAACATATTCATAGTACGTTGCAATAAAAATATTATCTGTTATACCTATCGATGTATTTTATTATTATTATTATTATTGTATTGTAGTTTGTATCGTTCTAGTCAATGAACAAAGCTTTAACAATTAAAAAAATTTTTTTGGATACATTTACCTAATTTGTACCATACTAACTGCATTAAGAATTTGTTTATTACTTATAATATGGTATATTTGAATTAAATAAAAATTGTTTATTCAACTATAAAAATTCTGTCCATTTTAATATATAATATATATATATATATATATAGTTATATTATAATTTATAGTTGTAAGCTTCATAGTTCTTATATAATTAAACTTTTCTTAATTAAATGTAATTGATTTTATGGGATTTTAATCGATGTAAAATACGAACAAATAATGTAGTGTTGATAGTGCCTAGCTAATTATTGAAAATGTATTATCTCAAACCAATAATGTAAATGTAAATGACCACTGTAATTTTAAAGTTCCACTTCACTTAAACACCTTAAAATCTTAGATATTATAATGACTAACGATTATTTTTGTCACTCTAAACAAAATATGATTAGATTAAGTAATATTAAGATTAAGCGTAGTGCATATATCTAATATCTATAATCTACATATACACACGTAATATACACATCAAACATGATATAATTAATGCGTTTAAAATGCAAAATATTTGATATGCATAGAGCAATTAAAATCATTGACCAACTAAAATATTTATCAAAACAAGACCTCATACTTATTATATATATATATTATTTTAAACATCGGACAACAAAACAATCAACGAAATACTAAATTCACAAAATATACTGTTCAAACGCTGAGAACCAATATCAAAAAACGTATTAGAGCAGTAAGTAAACATAATATGATTAGTTTCTTTCTAAATGTTCTAGTCCTTGAAATACTAACAAAACAATATTTAGAATTCCATATAAATCGAATTTATGAACATGTAACTAATCAATAGAATTTTTTAAAATATTATTTTAGTTTTATATATAAAATCCGAAAGAACTAAACGGCATTAATTGTTTCAGTTGTTTTGAAAACAAACTTCTTAGTCTTAACAATTTCGGAAATGATTAATAAATCTTTTACTATTAGTATTATATATAAAAATAATTTAAAGTTAATTTTAATTTTAATCTATCTATTTAAATAAAATGACTATCTGAGATAAACATGGAACAATAGTAGGTATACTTTAAAAGTTTCAAGTACCCACGAATAGAAGTTTAAAATTAGTGCAAAATAACTAATATTGTTATTCTTAGCTTACAATATATCTAATTTAATTTACAAATTTAAAATTAAAATGTCTAAAAAAAGTATGTTTATATTATATTTATTTGTCACAGTAATGAGTAGTAATGAGAAACTTTGTTTTCAAATTCCAATCCTAAGCTATAAAAATTAAACATTTAATACATTTGTCCCTACAAAATAATTTTTTTTTATTTTTCGATATTCTGATAAATTTTGTCAAATTTAAGTTTTAAATATTTATAAAAAAAAATCGTGAATATAATTCTTAACTAAAACAACTTATGAGGGATCTCAAATTTTCAAATTGTTAATCCAAGCAAAAAAAATGTTTAACCGCATTTGTAGAAGAAAAATAATTTAAAATTGTAAATGTGTGTATAAATAGCTCAAAATATTTTGAAAATGTTATTATGTATTTAAAATGATAAAATAAATGTTCAATTCAAATTACAAGTACTTATCTATTGTTATTTGAATTTGAATTACAGAAAAATAAGAAAATCGTACAATGATAATCCATGATGGTAGAAATTTGAACTTAAAACACTCAATAAAAGCGTTTAAATTTCGGATTGCTTTATTTTTTTTCGTTATAGGTATATAAAATTTATGATGAATCTATTATAAAATTATCAAACTTTTTGTTCAAAAAAATATTAAATTCTAAATTACTAAATTAAATTTTCAAATGTGTAAATGCCTAAACTCCAATCATATTCTAAACTTCTTTAGGTTCACAACCGTTCATAATTCATATAATATATAAAGAAAAAAAACTACTCTTAATTATGCCAATCATAGCTCCCAACTTATTAATTAAAAATATCACCTTCCTATTTATGAAATTCATATGTATTTCTATATAACTTATGAAAATAAATGTACACTGTACCTATTTTAATGTAGGTATTTACATTATCGTTCCATACAGAATCTAAAATTTAAACTTAAATTATATATATACATAAGTATATGTGTCATCATATTATGTATATAGATACCTACTGTATAGCAAAATTATTATTTCACAAAATATGTAACTTTTTAAGTATTTTTTTTATTTAGTTCAATATTTTGAATGTATCTAATATTTATCTTTATCAAGATAAAATTTGAATACACTAACTTTAAACTTGACTAATGTCTTAGTTAATGTTAGAGTTATCTGAGTACAACACTGATTATTACACTGTAGGTACTATATTGCGGTGAGATCAGCTAAGCGAAATTTCATTAAACTTGATTTTGGTATAGCTAATACTAACGCATAAAAATAACCTCTTATAAATATATCCTATAATATTGAAAATACAGAGTAAGGAGGGTGGTACTGGCAATGATGATCTCTCAGCCACCGCCCGTAACTGAATTCGAACTGATTATATTGCGCGTATTTCCTGCACCTAGGTGGGTGAAGCGAGACGTATTCTCGAACTCGGTATCTGGTTCCTGTCTGTCATTTTATACTACCTATATATGTAAGATATTATATTATTGTACCATATCCTATGGGTAGAAAGTAAATACACGGAACACCAATAAACAAAACGCAGTTATAAACATTGCGCAGAGGTTGTAAATACGAAAACGTAAACAGACTATAAATAGTAAATTATACAAATGTATTTTTATTATTATTATTCTAATACTACCAAATTTTGTCTTGGTACCTATACTAAACTTAAAACATCTTAATTAAAATGTATTAAATATATTTAAGCCACATATCATTACATCTTTACGATATTATAGTGTACTATAGGTATAGAGAAAAACAATTTTATTTGTTGAAAGTAAATATAACTGATAATTTTATCATATTTATGCTTAATAATATTAATAGCATTATTTATGCATAAGGCGTATAGTATTATTTTGATTTATATGCGAAGTTATACTTTTATCAACCGTCGTTTTTTTCACAGAATATTTCCAAAATTGTACAATCTCTTGAAGTCTTATGTAAAAGTAGTAAAAAAAGTATACCGATTTTTAAATTATTTAAATAAAAAATCAATTACATTTTACAGAATTTACGATTGGAATATTTGTACTATAAACGACATTCCTACTCTTTACTAATTAGATACAGTTAAAAAGGATGTCTGTGCAATATTTGTTTTCTATTTCAGATATAAATGCTACATATCTAAAATGAATTATTTTAAAATCTTTTTTGTTTAATATAATATTTATTATAAATTATAAATATTCAAAATCAATAATTCAAAGCAATTTTTAACAATAAATATATAGTAAAAGATTTAAATTATGACGAAAATAAATCGTAAGTACCCTTGGAAAGTCTTAATAGTGTTAATACTGAATACATCCACTCCTCCTGATGATTTGCATTATTGCTTATGTTGTATTTTATACTTCTTATTTTATTAAATAATTCAAAATCTTATGAAACAATAATATAAATCATATAAATCATATACACATTCCAATTAAGTACAATCATAAAAAATAATAAATGAAGGTAGAAATCAAAGTAAAATCCTACATTTTTGCATATCAAATATTTTCATTATATTTTATTGAATAGCTCTATTATGTAATGTATTTTAAAAATAACTATAGAATGCAGTGTTTCTCAATCTGTGATACGTGGAAAGCTCAAATAGATGGTAGACCTACGTAAAAGAAAATCATCCTTTATATAATAAAAATGGAATGGATTATTATTCATATTCAACATTATCAAAAAAAAAAAAAAAATATTCAATATTATTTGGCTTATTTGATATTAATAATAATAAAAATAACAACCATACATATTCATATAAACATTTTTTGTTCCTGATAAAATAAAATGCCATACCTACATGTAACATTACCTATATATTTTTGATAAGAAACAATATAAAGTTATTTGGTAAACAGATACATAAAAATTCCCAAACTGTGTAGGTGGTAAGTGGATATAAAAAGGTTGATAACTGCTGATCTAATGGTTATTACCCGACTGCACATTTCACATACCTACTGGTTATAAGCAGTATAGTTTGTGTTAAATAGATTATAGTTGATATTAGGTATTGTAAGTTATTCAAATTTTAACTCGTGTGCGTCATTTATTTTGAACTTCTTATTTTTTAATAATAATGAGTCATCTGCATCTAGCATATTTTGTTGTTTATATACTAAAATTAATACCTAGTAGGTATTCGCTGATATCTCATGACTTGATTTATACACATTGTTTGATTTGTGACTCTATAATTCTATATGTACAACAGGTATAGGTAAATTATGTAATGCAAATATTTATAAACTTCCTCATGTACAATCATAGGTAGTATTATGGACTATTTCAAGGTTGTGCAAATGAAAATATTTTCAATAAAATAATAAGGTAATGCAATCGTCATTTACAGTTCTACCGTGAAGGTTCAAATTGGTTAAAATTAGGTACAGGTATCAATTTTTCTAAAAATTAGAAAGACTTATATAAATATCTATATTTTAATATACTTTAATAAACTTTAATGAAACGTTGTCATAAAATTATTTTTAAACATAAGCGTTTACGTGTAAACAATAAACAAAAATGTGTGTTTTAAATGTGGTAGGTGATGACGAAGATTTGCCGACGAGTAAACTAAAAGGCGATGGAATTAATGATACCGAATCGGGCTATTCGAAAATGTAAGTAGACAATATTTAATTAGTCTATCTTAATTACACATACTATTATGGAATGCTATCCAACAGATAACTTATAAAAATTTATTTATTTATCTCCAAAAATAATATATTTCCAATATTTCGAGTTTTTTTTTTTATATATTCAATAAGCCATTAATATTTTATTTTCTTACTTAGACAAATAAATACACACTCAAGTACTTAATATTATGTTTAGCAAACTCAAAATGATTTAATTTTTTATTAATTTTTAAAATATAACATAAAGATTTAAGTAAATAAATCGAAACATTGATCAAAATATTCCATTGCAAAATGTTTCCATAGTCTATTCTCAAAGAACAAAACTAGTTATAGTTTCAACATCAATGAATCGTAACAATAGAAATGACCTTGAAAATGTCATTACGTTGAAATTTGTGTCAAGGTAACGTAAAAATCATCCTTGTACCCTAAAAAATATAGGAAAAAATGGAAACAACATAATAAAATAAGGGCTAGGATATCTTATCTCAAACTGATCTGATCGCAAAACAGGTTCAAAAACAAAATGGAAAGCCGAAGAACCTTCTACATAGTTTTAACATTACTAATATTCATATTTGCAGTGCTCATAATAGCTGTTTTCGGATTATCGTTTGCATGTAAGTATTGAATTATTTATAAATAATTTTCCTACCTATAAAATGCAATCATACATTACATTGTTAAATATTATGAAAAATTAAAATATAAAGTATAAATTGTATGCTTAATTTATTCGGTGAATATTAAATTAAGAGATTTAATCTACAAAATACTATTTGTTTTTAATATTATTAAATAATTAGGTACCTACTAAGTAAGAATAGTTTCTTTATGTTGATTTTAATAAGTACATTTTTTTTCGTTACATTTTGTATTGCTTACAATTTTTCTTAAATATATTTGAAATAACATTACGTGGTCATAAATATAATTAATTTACCAAAACGAATTACCGTAAAATTCAAAGTGACTTACATTAAAAATATGTTTAGCTAAATACACATAAATTGATTCAATGTACGAAATTGACAATTTGCCAACTTATTAAATATTTTGATTTTAGAAAATTCCCGCGTTATGCTATCAGTACCTAATAACTATTTTTGATCTATCTCACATCAAAATAAAATTTTGATCTATAGCTTAAAAACTATAATATATGATTGTTTAATATTTTATAGTGTTTATACATTTTGTTATTTTTTTTTTTCATCAGACCTCACGAAGACGGAAGACCAAAGACGGATATGTACGACAGAAGACTGCTTAAGATCTGGTTAGTTTATTTTAAAAACATTAAATTATTTTCTAATGAAATTGTAATGGATATAATATTTATGGATAAATATAAACATCTGTAATATCTAACAATTGATGCTAAACATTTTGTTATAATATAGCTTCAGCATTAATGGAGTCAATGAATAAATCTGTAGATCCATGTGAAGACTTTTATCAATTTGCTTGTGGAAATTTCGCAAAATTGCATAAAATACCAAAAACAGCGATTTCAAATGATCGATTTTCCGAAGTACATGCTACAATGTTATTACTTATTAGAGGTATGAATTCGTACAATAATTTAAATTTTCACTCTTTTATTATTGGAATAAAATTTTTTTTTTTAACATATAAATAACTATACTTCGACTATTACAATACAAACAAAAAAGTTAGTAGGTATTTTTGTGATTTGTTTAAATTATGTCATATTAGCATAAAACGTATATTATACGATTTTGGGATTTGTGACTGTTATTTTGACATTGGTTGTAAGGAATTACCAAATGACTGATTTATAAATTGTATATTATGAAGTACAAAAATTACGGACAATAGCGAGAACATCAAATCTACATATTGCTGTAACATTAATCCGGTCTAGCTCATATGGTTATAAATATTAATAACATCGTATAGAAATAATTATCACAGACTATTGAGCAGTGGGACTAATTTATAGTTCACTAAGGTATACACATTGGGGTGCATTTCAAGACCTCCTCTTAATATTATAAGAATGATGTTTTTAGATTTTTTGGAAAGAGACGATAGTGAAACTGAATGTTATGCTGTGTCGATGTCCAGACGTTTGTATCGCTCTTGCATGGCAACAGGTGTGTTAGCTTATTATATGGTAACAACAAAGATTAAATGAACAAGTATATTACATGCCTTATCGAATAATATTTCCATGTTTAGATAAAATGAACACAGATGGGATTAAACAATTAGTTCAGATTTTAGACAAAATTGGTTTACCGCACATGGGGCTTTCTTATAAGATAAAAACGTCAAGTTTCTCGGCAATTTTAGCTAGATTAAAAAAGCAAATAAACCTAGACTATTTGTTTGTAACAAATGTAGAAGCAGATACAAAAAATCGGTCAACTAATCGAATTAGTCTGGGTAAACCAAGAGATACAAATATATTTCCAGTGTAAGAATTACATTTTTTTTTTGTGATATCACTCTGTGATGGCTAACATAATGTTTTGAATTATTTAGTCACAAAATAACAGAACATATAAAGAAAATGAGTTCAAGAAAAATGCGTGAAACACTAGCATCTGAAGAAGAAGTAGGCAACACAAATGACAGTGAAGAATATGCAGATGGAATTGATTATCTAAAATCGTATGCAAAATATTTCAAAGGCGTTTGGACGGAGATAAATAAATTTCAATCGAATAATTTTAATCCTAATTTTCAAACTTTTGGAATTAAAGTATCACAATTATTGAGTTTTATCAATGAACATTCAAAAGTAATTTATCAATTTACAGTATTATATTATATATTTTTGTATTTTAATAATATGAGTGAATAATTAAATGTAGATAAAAGATGAAATTTATGACAAAGATGATGAACTTCCATCAGTTATGACTGTTGATGAATTACAAAATTATACAAATGATATTACACGGAATTATACTGAATCAAATGAGCAAATTGTAAGTAATTATTATATTACATATAATAAATGTATCATACTTCAACAACATCATAAATTATAGTGATACGGTATTATGCGACATGCATATCATTTATCATATTATATATCAGTGGTGGCGAACCTTTTTTGAACTAGTGCCAAATGTTTGCAATCAAAGATTTGACAATTTATTGTTCACGTACCCTCCCCCTCCCTCAAAAAAAGTCTGTAAATACTAAATTGAACATGATAAATATAGTGTAATAATATAGAAACATAATCAATTTTACATAGAAATATTATTATCTTTCTATTGTATATAATTTGTTTCTTTGAATTTTTTACAAGCAAAATTTTATGAATACCATAACTTTTCACGTGCCATTAAAATTTGATAAAAGTGCCACTTTTGGCACGCGTGTCATGGGCTTGCCACCACTGTTATATATGATATTTAATATCATAATTTATATTTTAATTATGAATTCATTCCTCGAGGTGCTGTTTCATCTCCTTTTCTATATAAATTATACACAGCTGACCAACCAACCACCCCGTACATTTCAGTAGCCGAATTTGCTAATGACAAAATTATATACACTTCTCAAAATGATTTTATACACTGCTAAATTACACTTACAAAACCACCTAAACAGCCTATCTTCCTGGTATACTAAATGGAAAGTTAAAATTAACAAAAAAAAATCATCACACATTACTTTTTCTTTAAGACAAGGTGAAACACCGTCTGTTAAACTAAACAATCAAACAATACCAACAGTCTCCAACATCCGTTATCTAGGCCTAACCCTAGACAAGCGACTCACCTGGGCAGAACATATAAAAATTAAACGCAAATACTCTAAACCTCAGGAGGAAATCACTACACTATTTGATAGGTAATCATTCCAAACTGAACCTCAATACTATACTACTTAACTACTCATTTATAAGCAACTTCTCATGCCCATATAGGCTTATGGCATCCAGCTATGGGGTGCAGCTAAATTGTCAAATTTAAACAAAATACAAAGATTCCAATCAATCACCTTACGCATGATAACTAAGGCCCCCTTTTACATATCCAACCATACACTCCACATAGACCTACACATTAAAACTATATCAGAAATGTCATCAATTATACATGAACGTTATCGTCTAAGACTAAAGAATCACCCCAACCCGTTAATTTCAGCAGAAACAATACCTGAGAACCCCCAAATAAGGCTTAAGAGAAGATGGTTCCGTGACCTAAACTCCTAATCTCAAGAAAAAAAAAATATCTAACATAGCAATTAAATCAATGTAAAGCGTAGCCGCTGGGTTACTCCTTTTATCAAGCAACTCATGTCATACCTACTTATTATAGCTCATATTCTTATTGTAAAAAACTAATTTACAGATTGTATAATATATTATATTAAAAAATAAAAAAAAATATGAACTCTTACACAAATAAAATAAATTTTGAAATAGGACGTGTTTGTTTAATGATAATTCGTTGGCAGTACATAAACTTGGGAAATAATGCATTTTGCCGAGATTTGAAAATATTATTACCTTTTGGAAAAATCATTGACAGTTATTAGTTTGGTTCTAATTTAAATAATTAAATAATGGTTTAACACGGATCAAAATACGCTTTAGAGAATTTTAAGTTCTTTTAATTACAAAGATTAGTCCATTGGAAATAATACGTTTGGTCTAACTGATGTTTTTGTTATAATGATTTACATCAAAAATAATCATATTTTTCATTTGTTTTGTGACACTCATCGATTCCCCTCCATGTTTTCAACATATTTATTATAAATTGATGTATAACTTAATTTTGTCAAAAATTGTAATCGAAACGTTTTGAATTTTCACATTGACTCCTCATTATAAGCAGTTATGGTAACCAGTACCTACCTGTGAATAGCTTACTAGTAACTAATTATTAATTAAAATAAATACTAATAAGTTAAATTTTAAATAAAAACGATTTAGATTGATTGGAAGGAATACTTTACAATTCTGTTTATGGATGTGGAGAATGTAACATTGGATTTCGAAACTGATTTAATTCAAATATCTAACATCGAATATTTTGAAGCTCTATTCGAATTAATCAGTAAACATAAAAACCAAGCTAGTAAGTACGAACGTAGTAATAACAATTTGTTTTGATACGCATATAACTTATACAATATGAAATTATTAAGTCTTGGTTTTCCATGGTGGTTATCAGTAGTCATTAATGTGCACTGTGGTCTGTAGTAGTCAATCATCGTCCAGTGTCTTCGGCTCTTGGATAAACCACCTAGAGTTCTTTGCGACTAATCTTCACTCCCACATAAACATATGTTCGTAAAAGCAATCGTAATCTCCACAAAATTCTAATAAGTGATGGCCAATGATCAAAGTTATACATAAATATATATGTGTGTGTGTGTGTGTGTGCCATCATACTGATTTTCTCCTAAACGGCTGGACGAATTTTGATAAAATGTTGTGAGTAGATGTTTAAGTAGGCTCATGGACCATGAATGGTTTAGATTTACAAATCGACTTGGTAGGTTCAGCCTGGAGAGTTGCTCAATCAAGGGTTTTGAAATTTATGATAGAAATCGATAATTTTTTTATTTATAAATGGTTTTGGATACAGCTTACACATAATATTAGCTACAGTAGAAATCAGTTTTTTTGTTTTAATTTTATGTTATTATACCACAGTACCTCATAAATTTGTTATGATCAAATATTGCGAGTTTTTTTCTCAATAATACATTTCTAGGTAATATAAATGTTGTAAATTTATATTTTAGTTTTTAATGATGTGTACGTAAAATTTCAGTTGTCAATATTTGGTGGGAAGTGGTTGTCACTCTTTTGCCATACACTACAAATGAGATGCGATTTGTACAAGATAGATTCTACTATGAAACAACCGGATTAGAAAATAATCCTTCAAGATCACTTTATTGTGCAAATGCTGTAAACTCAATGATGGGAATGGCTGTTTCACGTTTATTATTAGACATGGAAACAATATATAATAATACAATAATGGTATTCAACTTGAAAATACTGAAATTTGAATACCAATAATATCAATGTGCTTTTTAGGCGGCTGAGATGATCGAAAATATTCATTGGGCGTTCGAAAAAATAGTCAAAGAATTAAATTGGATGGATTATACTACCAAACAGAGGACACTATATAAGGCACAGCAAATGAAAACATTTATTGGATTTCCTGAATTCATAAATGATCCCCTTCAACTCGATGATTACTACTCTGAAGTACCAATTTCATTCACTAATTTAATATTTATTTTTTATATTATATGAACAGTTATTTTAATTACTTGTTTAGTTTGAAGTAATGGAAAACGATTATTTTGGCAACGTTATACTTTATGTTCAACAAGAATTGAACAATTCTTTGTTGGGACTTAGGCAATTCAATAATTACACAACAAACTCGTGAGTAAAAACAAATAATTTTAATAATATACCTATACCAATAAAATCTATATGGTTTTAGTTGGGCATCAGATCCATTAGAAGTAAATGCGTACAACTGGATCCAAGCAAATGCAATAAGTAACTAATACTAATTTTAAAATGTCACTATATTAAATTTAATAATTACCTAAGCCAAACTTAAATGTATATATTTTTAGCTGTTCCAGCTGGTATATTACAATTTCCTTTCTTTGGACACGATTTGCAGTATGTTGAAGTTTAATTTTTAAAAGATAAATTAATGTACTACTTATTAATTATTTTAATTTAAGGATGCTCAACTATGGTTTTCTTGGTTCTATACTGGGCCATGAACTGACACATGGTTTTGACAATACTGGCCGAAAATTTGATCACGATGGAAATGAAAATATGTGGTGGACTAATCAAACTATCGCGGAGTATGAAAAACGTAGCGACTGTTTCATCCACCATTATGAATCTTATTTAGTACCTGACATCGAAGAAAAGGTATTTTTTGAATTTTATTATTGTGCTGAAAAGTTATAACTAGGGCTCGGAAGTTGTAGGAATTGCATATTGTTCTGTATGATCTCAATTTATAGCAGACCTAGCTAGAAATTTGAAATATACAATTGWGAGTTAAAAAATTGAAAATTGAAAATGCATATTTTGCCAATTTTTGCTAAAAATTGCATATTTCATTAATTTTATACACATATTATGCATATTTCATATTTTTTCTAAAAATAATTGATTTTTTCTTTCCTAACCTGTTTATTTCAACTAATACTGAATATAAAACTCAAAATGATCAACGAAGGTATTTATTGTCATCGCCGTAGTCAATTACGGAGTTAATAACAGTGATGTACTGATGTGATACGCATTTAGTCTAACACGCTAATATGCCGAAATACTTATTTGAAGTACTATCTTATCGTCGATAATAGTTATCGTAAATATAATGATGGTTTCTTCGTTTATCATTACTGTTGATTGTAAACGATTGATGTTTGACAGTGACAGTTTCGTTTTAGACGTCGTATTGTTAGTAGGTGAAGTGCGTATATTTTTGGAATTCAGAATAATATTTTTGCATATTTAACATTTTTAATGCATATTTTGCAATTTTTTCGTGCATATTTTACGTTTTTTAGCTCCTACAACTTCCGAGCCCTAGTTATAACTAATTAATTACATAAACTTTACATCAAAGTTTTTTTTTTTTTTTTAAATACATTATTTTAATTTTGATAGTTTAACTATTAAATACATGTTGTACATTAATAAATATTTACTATTAAAAATTATTACTAGTACTATCAAACACCAGTTATCGTTTGCTCATCGGTATTGTTAATTTTGACCTTTTTTGTAAGACAGTTCTGCATCATTCGATATTTGAGTAATACGTAATTTGCCCATCAATATTATTCAACAATAAAAATGAAATAAAGGTGTACATACCAAGCGTAAGTTGTTTTCTAACTTTGGTTAGGTTAGGTATGCTCATCTCTAAATTTACTCACGTAATATTAAATTTTCAAATATTGCATAAGTATAATGTGATATACAATACACCAAATAAAAATGTCATTTCGTAGAATAAAATTTTCGAATTTTTTCAAGATTAGAACTTGAAGTGTTTATGTGTATTAATTATTTTTAAGTTTAACAATCTTAAATTATTTATTATCTACATAATAATATACATCATGAAATACAAATTTTTATACCCTTCAATTTCTTAGAATATTGATGTGCATTTGATGTACGATATTTTTGGACAGGCAAACAGACGATATGCAAATGATATACGGTCCTATCAAAGACGTCCATGGTAATATAAACCAATTGGTGGGGGGGGGGGCGAAGTCAAAAGTCCCTAACAGTATAGCACATACTATATTTTGTTTGGTTTTTATAAGCGATTAATGATTATGGATTAACTAAAATAAAGGAGAGCATAGCCTCTTCGTCCTCATTGCCTTAACTGTGGGCGCCTAAAATTACTGTATACAATATACATAATAATATGTTTTATAGTATTCTATTATCGTGATCATGAGTTCAATCGTAGATTGTCCTTACTCGGCTTTCTTACATTTTAATATTCGAWACATAATGTGGTAGTTATATGATCTTAATCAACTCGTGTTATATTTAAACTCGAAATCTATATGTCAACAATTAGTACCAATAATATTTAATAATTTTTAGTTTCTCAGTTTAAGGTTAAATAATAAATGTTTTTTTATAACATATTATTTTATATCATGGTCTATACTCTATGTATTATATCATAGTGACATTTAAATACCCGAACTTTATGTGATATTTTTGATTAATTTATGAACAATTATAATAGAAATACGATAAAATAATAAATAGTTTTAGTGGAAATAGGATTGTAGAATAATAAATTATAAACAATACTGAATTATAAATTAGAATTAGAACAATAAATAAAGGTAATATTAAAATTTTGAGTCTTTTTCAATTCAATCAAAATTCAACTACCTATATGCAATTTTAGATAAGTGGTAAAATGACATTGGATGAAAATATTGCTGATAATGGTGGATTGAGAGAAGCACTGTTGGCATATAGAAAATTTGTTGATGATCACGRTGAAGAACCTAAACTACCTGGATTCGAACAGTATAGTAATGAGCAAATGTATTATTTAGCTTTTGCAAATGTGAGTAGATAGTTCCTATTTATGAAACATAAAAAATATTTTGTTTTATTGTTCTTGTTAACGATAATTTAATTACATAACATTATTTATTAGAATTGGTGTGAAGCAACAACACGGGAATCGTTATCAAATAGCATATTAGACGAGCACAGTCCAAATAGCATTCGAGTTATTGCAGGATTAACTAATTCAGATGAATTTAGCGAAGTATGGAAATGTGAAAAAGGTTCAGGAATGAATCCACAGAATGATAAATGTAAGATATGGTGATAGTTAAAAGCATAATAATTGTTTTTATTTATTATATCACCATAAACATTATACGTTTCTTAATACGAATGAATTACTTGCTATATATCATTTTTATTTTTATATAATTATAAGCTTTAATGCCATTAGGATACTTTTGTTACCAAATAATGTGATTCGTATGAAAATATTTAAATATTATGTTAAGTCATTATTTTATTAATTGCTTAGCTTTAAAAGATACTTATGGTTATCTACTTACTAATCTATATGAATGTATATTTTGATAAGTGATAATTAATAGAGGTTTAAAAAAAATATATTTTTCCATGATTTATTATTATATTAAATAATCTAATAATCTTGTAAGAATATATTTATAACAGTGTTCAAAAAATGACGTAATAAAGTTAACCTATTATCTACGGACAATTTTGTAGTACAAGTTTAGTACCTATATATGCTCTTTGTTATAGAACCATTCTAAATAAGTTTATATAATCATATTGAAAATATTTGTGTATATATTATTTACACTACAGATTTCGTACATATTATAATGTACCAACATTTTGTTTTTAAAATATTTCATGGTTCAATTGATTGCAAACACATCCTATCTCTTCATCAATGTTTCTTTTTTAACCAATTGCTTTATTAAAAGCAATTTTCATAATATTTATTTTGACCCCTCTAGATTGTACTTTTAGTATTAAAAACAATATTATGCCTATTATATTTTTTAATTATTTCTCTATTTTTAACAAATACAATGAAACATTATTGTAAGTAGTTAAACTGAATTAAAATCCAATAAAAATAAGTTAATAGGTCAACCTACCTATCTATGTTTTTTTTTTTTTTTTTTGACAAAATAGGTAATTAAAATTGCTTTTCTTCATTAAAATATCTAATTTTGTTAAAATTTGAACTTGAAAAATCTATGATAAAAAAAACAGTGCTTGAATATTTTTTTAGATTCTTTGAGTACTGGAAATATTTGAAAGAAACCTTGCTTTAAATTTAGAGCTATAAAAATTAATTATTTTATAGTTTTAACAACAAAATTATTTGTAAATGTTCGTGACTTCGTTAAATATTATCCAAATTTTAACTTTATACATATACTAATAAAAAAAATTTGAACATATGTATCTCAAATATTTTTAAACTACTATTATAACAATATTATTTCATTTTTTATTAAAACTCAAACTTTTTGACCCAGTGAAATTTTTTTTATCTATTTATTGATTATATAGCGGATAGTTGTGTTTTTTTTAATCAGTTATAATCTTTATCAATTCTTTATCAGAATGTAATCATGTAGAAAGAATCCGACGATAGTGCTGCTTAGGCAACCCATTATGCTTTGGTATCTTACACACACATTATCGCAACGAGAGAAATCTACAAAAACTTCGCAAATTTGATTTATTGTAAAAACCGAGCTAAATGTTAAACTAAACTGCTGAGTGTTATATTTTGTTAAGCTACGCATTTTTAATACAATAAATATTTATGTAGCATTAAGTTTTTTCCTGATCGTTATTGACCCATGAAAAATCGTATTTCCCCATCAAGATCATTTGGTAGTACACTCCCGTTAAAATGTACCCATATATAATATACATACGTGCAGTCTCAATTTTTAACTTGAAGAGGCTTATATTTAAATAATGATTTCTTCCCCATTTTCTTTATTCAAATACCTTAAAAATGTACAAAATATTTAATTAAAATACAAATTTTAGAAAAGGCTGAACTCAATTGTTGCAAACTTGTCCACACCCGAATTTCAAGCCTTGTGTTTGACGTATAGGAGTTGTAAGTTTTTGTATAACACACTGCTACTACAATCGCTGTCGTCAGTCATATAGCCTAAAGAGCAAATTTTATATAATGCTGATCGGCAATGAAGAATGGAAGATGAAATTATGTTTAGTGATATATTCGTTGCCTCACAAGTGATGGATCCGTATAACTCAAATAGTCAAATGCATAATAAAGCATGCACATTACATGATGTAATACGCGTTTGATGACTTAGTGATCTATATAGGAATGCGTCTAGACTTTGACTGTGATTAGTGTGTGTCTGAGTGACTGAGTTTGAGTGTGTAAGCTCGTCTGTTTTATGTATATAAATACGTACCTTTAGTACCTATGTAAAAAAAATAATAATAATACTTTGTCTACGACGTGTAATTATAGTATACACACGCGTAATTTAGCATACTATCATCTAGACTTTATTGCGTTTCCAACGAGTGCGTTTAGTAATTATTATTATTTATGTTTTTGGTGCACATTATTACGGGCCGTGTCGTACATATATAAAGGTATATAATGTGTTGAATTAGGTGTACAACTTAATTGATGTCCAGTCACCACTTTCCTAGAAACCAATACGGAAAAATAATTATTTAATAAATTGTTAAGTTTATTCAATAGACAACTTTATATCAATTATATAAGTAGACGTTTTTAATTTCTTAAAAACTTCTTGTATATTATATTATATGTTTTAACTTAACAGCCTAAATTACTAATTATCTGAAACTCACGTTTCACTATACATATATTTTCCTCCTTTCTCATATTTTTTAAAATAATTTAATCCTAGTTGATTTTTGTGTACACAATTTTTAATCCTTAATAACCATATGCCTTCTAAACAATCAAAATACCATAATTGTATTCTGTACTAAAACGATAACAGAAARATAAACTCACTGCGCTGATGTACCCAAATTGCCTAATCAGAACGCCGTGCGTATATCATTTTATCGGATAAAAAAAATCGAAATATTCTAATGAAATCCTAGCGGAGAGTATAAAAAAAATCAGTATTATAGATTTAATACATTTTAATGATCCGTGATATATCAGGTTTATCTTAAAATGTTTGATATGTTATTGTGATAATCACAGTATGGTTTGGAATTTTTCATATTATACAAAATCTTGTACCTACAATGAGCATTTCTACAATGTGAGAAGATTATGAAAATTGTCTTCATCTTACGTCGAAATTCGCCAACCAAGCCGTAGAAGAACATAGGGCATGATAAATTATAATTAATAAATTATAATATGCTTATGCATTCACATTAAATTTTAATTAAAACTAATTTTTGAAATAATGTA